GAGCACCCAACAGGGCATGCACACACTTTGGTCTCCGTAGAAAAAAACACCTGTTTGCTGCGCCACTTCTTTGCCACGGTGCAGGATTGTGGTGTGCTCGGCACCTCCCCCCTACCACGGGACCTCCACGGTACGTCTGCTGGCGCAACCGCGTGTTATTTTGCCCCGGGGCAAACAGCCACGCTTCCCCCCTGCATTTTCCTGCCCTAGTAATGTAAATAGCCTATCGTTGGGAGTGGGAGTGTTTGGGGGTCTGGTTTTTTGCATGCTTTAAAACCAGGCTTCTGCCTGGGATTTTGTCTTCCTTCTCCTAGCTGAAATCACTAATAAAGTAGAGCTGATCACTGTACTTGGGGATCTGTTCATCCATGGAACCCACTATTTAACAGTGTGTGTGACCGCGCCTTTATGTATTGAACCAGGGCTTATCCATATCCCTTGGGAAACGATTCCATGCGAGAACAGAGACCGGGCTGGAAGAAGTAGCAGGCATGAATTGATTTTCCTTAGAATCTCATATTCAGGATATATAAAGAAAAATAATCTGCCTGGGGAAATTGTTGTTAGATTCTCGAAGAGGCATGTGAGGGATGCAATCCTCAAAGCTGTATCTGGAGTACCCCTGAAAGTGGGGGAGAATGTCATCAGAGTTCTTAAAGACATTCCATTTGAAATAAGGCAAAGGAGAAAGAAGTATAAAGAGCTTATTCTCTTTCTTCAGACAAATTCAATTGGATATAGATGGCTAACTCCAGAAGGCATCACCTTCAAAATCAAGGATAAAAAAGAAAAGATTGACTCTGTTCTGAAAGCTCGGGAATTTTTAAGAGTCCAGATGGGAGGGCCAGAGGAGGAAGAAAAAGAAGAAGAGGACAGTAAGTCCAGTGGCGAGCTGGACTCGGATCCTTCCGGGAAGGACTCTCTTTCTGAGAAAGGTGCAGCAGCTCCTAAAAGTCCTTATAAAGTTGTGGAAGAGAAGGGGCAAGGAGAAGTGAAGGCTGAAGGACTCTGAGTTGTGCCTTTGAAAAAAGTTTAAAATTTAATGCTTGGGGGTATTTCTTAACAATAGTTGAATTTAAGAATTTAAAAAGTTAATGATATATACTTGACTCAGTTTGTAAAGGGGCTAGCGGGATGAAGACTTGAAGTTTTGTATAAGCTGATTAGAAGCTCTCCTCTCTTGGGTTTTTAGGTATTAGTGGGTGTCTTTACTTTGTCCCTAGTGTAGTCCCCTACCCTATTTCTGTTATAGTATGTAGTGTTTATAAAAACATAATAAAAAAAATCCCCTTTGGGGGGCCAAAAAAAATAATCTCCAATTAATGGGTTGCAGGCTAGCCTGACCTTGTCAGATCTTAGAGGCTAAGCAGGGTCAGAGCTGGTTAGCATTTGGATGGGAGACCACCAAGGAAGCCCAGGGTTGCTACGCAGAGGCAGGCAATGACAAACCACCTCTGAATATCTCTTGCCTTGAAAACCCTACAAGGTCGCAATAGGTTGGCGGCAACCAGACAGCACCTTCGACCACCAGAATCCCATCTTTCATTTGAAAGAGGAAACAGAGACAAAAGAAGCGAGTTTCCATCCCTCACAGTTTCAAAAATCCCTTTGGAAGTGTGATGGGAACACACGCTGAAAGGTCAGGAATCAGAGAGGTCATTACTTAAAGTTTTCAGTGCAAACTGGGTTTCAGTTCAGAGCCAGTTTGGTGTAGTGGTTAGGAGAGCAGACTCTAATCTGGGAGAACCGGGTTTGGTTCCCCACTCCTTCACGTGCAGCTGCTGGTGTAGCCTTGGGTCAGTCACAAGTTCTCTCAGAGCTGTTCTCTCAAGGGCAGTCCTCGAGAGAGCTCTCCCTGCCCCACCTACCTCACAGGGTGTCTGTTGTGGGGAGGGGAAGGGAAAGGGGATTGTAAGCCGCTCTGAGACTCCTTCGGGTAGTGAAGGGCGGGGTATAAATCCAATCTCCTCCTCCTCTCCATTAAGTTTAAAACCCGAAGAGAGAGAGCCAGTTTGGTGTCGTGGTTAAGTGCGCAGACTTCAGTCTGGGAGAACTGGGTTTGATTCCTCACTCCTCCACCTGCACCTGCTGGATGACCTTGGGCTAGCCATAGTTCTGTCAGAGCTGCCCTTGAAATGAGCAGTTTCTGTCAGAGCTCTCTCAGCCCCACCTGGCTCACAGGGTGTCTGTTGTGGGGAGGGGAAGGGAAAGGAGATTGGAAACCGTTCTGAGACTCCTTTGGGTAGTGAAGGGCGGGGTATAAATCCAATCTCTTCTTCTTCTTCTTCCTCTTCTTATGTCCTAGAATTTCCCATGATTGACAAGGGCAGAATAGCCCAGTATCCAAAACTGCAACACCTATATTGCTAGGCTGTGATAGGGTTGTCTAGCACACTACATATCTGGAGAATAAGCGAGCGTTTAAGAATACAAATGTTGGCCCGCCTGGATACGATACAGCAATTAAAGCATTTTTGCTCCCTTACAATTCAGACCACCAAGGGAGAAAATGTCAAAGCGTTTGCTCTTTTCAAATTGATGATTCCAAGTCTGGAATCTCCTCCTCCTCCTTCTCTCTCAGATTTACAGGGCAATTTAATTATCTCCATTCCCTTCCTGAAACAGATAATCAGACAGAAAGCCTTCTAGGCCGGGGACATTAAAAGGCAGGTTAAATTTCATAGCTGGGAATGATTTCTGCAGACTCTCCACTCTGTGGAAAGGGCTGCTTCTTTCTCATATGTGTGTTGGCGTCGCTGCATTCACATCGCCTCCCAGAACAACTTGGCTGCGGTAAGAGTGATGAAACGTGAGCTTTGCAAAAAGAAGTTCTCTTAATCCGACCTTACCCAATTTCTCCCTGAAATCCAACCATTTGTTTCTTTTCCTCTTTTGAATTTGAAGTAAGTTTCTAACCAGTTCCATGTTGATGACAGAAGGCTGCTAACTTTGGGTCGGGAAATACCTGGAGATTTTGGGGGTGGAACCTGGGGACGGGGGGTTGGGGAGGAGTGGGGTATAGTGCCACAGAGCCCACCCTCCAAAGAGGCCATTTTCTCCAAGGGAACTGGTCTTGGTCATCTGGATGTAATAGTGGGAGATCTCCAGGTGCCGCCTGGAGGTTTTCAACCCTAACAAAAAGGAGTGGAGGGACAGTGTAATGTATCCATCTCAGACCGCGTGCGCGGCCATTTCGCCACGCGGTCATGCGAAGCGGCTGAGCTTCGCTCGCAGTAACAATGGGACAAGCGGATCCTAGCCGGCACCAATCGGCAGGCTAGGCTCCTGGCCGAGAGCCTATGGAACTCTCGGCCCCTGTAAATAGCCAATCACTTGTGTGTGGGTGTGTTTGGGGTGCGGGGTCGTTGCACATATAAACCAGCCTGCGAGCTGGTTACTTTGTCTTGTTCCTGATCTAATAAATGATGAGATGAGATTGGATTTATACCCCGCCCTTCACTTGGAGTCTCAGAGTGGCTTACAAACTCCTCTCCCTTCCCCTCCCCACAACAGACACCCTGTGAGGTAGGTGGGGCTGAGAGAGCTCTGACACAAACTGCTCTTTCAGGAACAGCTGTGCCAGAGCTTGTGACTGACCCAAGGTCACATCAGCAGGTGCAAGTGGAGGAGTGGGGAATCAAACCCGGTTCTCCCAGATTAGAGTCTGCACACTTAACCACTACACCAAACTGGGTCTCAATACCGAGGGGGGAGGAGGAGGAGGAGATTGGATTTATACCCCACCCTTCACTACCCAAAGGAGTCTCAGAGCGGCTTACAGACTCTTTTCCCTTCTCTTCCCCACAACAGACACCCTGTGTGGTGGGTGGGGCTGAGAGAACTCTGACACAAACTGCTCTTTTTCAAGGACAGCTGTGCCAGAGCTTGTGACTGACCCAAGGTCACATCAGCAGGTGCAAGTGGAGGAGTGGGGAATCAAACCCGGTTCTCCCAGATTAGAGTCTGCACACTTAACCACTACACCAAACTGGCTCTCAGTACAGTAAAGTGCGCTAAGCTGAAATCACTCGTCCGTCTGCGTACTTTTCAGACAGGAAGGGACGTTCTTCAGAATTTCACTCTACGGATGCTGAGAGGCAGCCCATGTCTTCCCAAACCCTCCTATTTGCCTGCTAAGGCATCGCCCTGGGGTGTGAAGCATGAAACAACTGCGAGGGCCGAAGTTACAAAAAAGGGTGCACCGATTTGTCTACAGAGAGAAAGGAAAGTGAAATCCCTCTCTGAAAACAGGAAAAAAAGAGAGAGAATAAGACGAATCAATCAGTGGCTACATCACAAAAGTGAATTTTTGGGAAAAAGAAATTCCCTTCCCCATGGCAATGCTATTAAAACCCCAGAATAATCTTCATTTAATAACATAAGAGAAGCCATGCTGGATCAGGCCAATGACCCATCCAGTCCAGCACCCTGTGTCGTTGTTGTTGTTCAGTCGCACAGTCGAGTCCGACTCCTTGCGACCCCATGGATCACATCACGCCAGGCCCTCCTGTCTTCCGTCGTGCTCCAGAGTTTGCTCAATCTCATGTTCGTTGCCTCGATAACACTGTCTAACCATCTCATCCTTTGCCTTCAATCTTTCCCAGCATCAGGGCCTTCTCCAGTGAGTGCTCCCTTCTCATTTGGTGGCCAAAGTATTTGAGCTTCGGCTTCAGTATCTGCCTTAACGTGGCGAGGGGGCTTGTGTGGTTCGATGAGGCTGTGGGCTATGCCGTGGAGGGCCACCCAGGACGGACAGGCCACGGCGGAGAACTCAGACAAAATGTGATCCACTGGAGAAGGAAATGGCAACCCACTCCAGTATCTTTGCCAAGAAAACTCCATGGACAGTAACTGTGTCATAGAGTGGCCTAAACCCAGGTGCTATCAGGAGGTCCACCAGCAGGGCCAGAACTCCAGAAGCCCTCCCCCCGGTTGCCCCCCCGAAACACCGACAATACAGAGCATCAAAAGGAAAAAAGCGACCGCCCAGTAAATCTCACCTTCTGAAGGTACTGCGCTTTCTGATCATCCACTCTCTCCATTTCAGTATCTTCTTGGGTTCCCATTTCTTCCTTTCCTTAACAAAAGAAAGACAAGAAGGAGTAAATCTTGGAAATGTAAAAAAGTAGAAGGCTCGCTTTACCATATGTGGTGGACATGTGAAAAAGCTAAGAAGTTTTGGGTTGAGATTCATGCAGAGATGGAAAAATAGTTAACTGCACATTTAAAAAGGAACCAGAAATATTACTTTTGGGACTTAAAATGGAAGAGGTCAATGTGGCGAAAAGGACGCTTATGTGGTATATGATTGTGACTGCCAGAATGACACATGCGCAAAGTTGGAAACAGGAGGAAGTTCCTGGAATTGGAGAATGGATTAAAAAAACTACTTTTTATGGTTGAAATGGATAAGATGACAAGGAAACTGAATAATATGTCAGCAGAAGACTTTTTTGAAGATTGGAAAGACTTAAAAGAATATCTGGAAAAATACTGGGATGTGAGAGACAATTTATTTTGCTTTGATAACTATTGAGTATAGAGAATTGTGAAAAAATAAGTTACCTGTAGAATATGTAAAAGATAAAGAGGAGTACTTAAGAGTAACCTAAAGATTATGCAGGAGGTTGTACCACTGCGGGAAGCCATATATAGGGGGGAAAGGGAGGAGGGTAGGATATAAAGGGATAAGAACTGTAATACAAATGTTGAACTTTGTTGAATATATCCTAAAAATAAAATGTTTACAAAAAAAAAAAGACAACAAGGCCCTAAGAGAACATACTGTAGGAAGTAATTCAAAAATGGTCCAGACTAGTACACTTCAATGCCTGGGGGGGAAAGTGTTAAGGTGCAGTGATGATATTTAATACATGAAAACAGTGATGGTTTGAAAGCTGGCTGAAAGACTGGGGGGGGGGGGGGGAAGGAGGAGGAGGAGGAACTTAAAGAAAGAGCCATCTTGGGTTGTGCAAACAGCACAAGGCAGGGGGAAGGCAGGAGGTGCATCAGACATCAGGTGGGAGATGCCATTTTTTACTACCCCTTAGGAAAAATTCCCTAGAATCCCTCATAGAATCATAGAGTTGGAAGGTACCTCCAGGGTCATCTAGTCCAACCCCCTGCACAATGCAGGAAATTTTCAACTACCACCCCCCCCACACACCCCCAGTGACCCGTGCCCAGAAAATGAAGCTGCCTGATACTGAAAACTGGTCCACTAAGGTCAGTATCGTCTACTCAGACTGGCAGCAGCTCTCCAGGGTCTCAGGCAGAGGTCTCTCACATCACCTACTGCCCGGTCCTTTCGACTGGGGATGCCGGGGTTTGAACCTGGGACCTCCTGCATGCCAAGCAGATGCTTTTCCGCTGAGCCACAGCCCCTCCCCAAAGAAGAAAACTGGCAAATCAGGGGAAAAGGTTCTATATTATTATAATTGTTGTTGTTGTTGTTATTATAATATCTACCCTTTCCTTTTGGTGCTAACTTTTTTACTTGCAGGGAATTGGTTTTGACATCAAGGTAGTATTAAAAATGATGACCCCGCTCACCTGTAGCCTGAACCAGTATGGTGTACTATCTCAGGTCTCTGTCACTCCATGTTTGGTGTAGTGGTTAAGTGCATGGACTCTAATCTGGCAGAACTGGGTTTGATTCCCCACTCCTCCACTTGCAGCTGCTGGATGACCTTGGGCAGGCCAAAGTTCTGTCAGAGCTGTTCTCTCAAGGATAGTTCTCTCTCAGCCCCACCTACCTCACAGGGTGTCTGTTGTGGGGAGGGGAAGGGAAAGGAGTTTGTAAGCTGCTCTGAGACTCCGAGTGAAGGACAGGGTATAAATCCAATCTCTTCTTCTTCTTCATGTTGTTGCAAGCATAGATTGGGCTTTATGGTGGAACTAGAGCAGGAGTCCCCAACGTGCCCGTGGGCACCCCGGTGCCTGGTGATACCTTTCCTGGTGGCCCACCAAGTGTTTTTAGAAAGTGGGTGGGGTCAGATTGGGCTTTTGTCCAGCAAGGCTTCTGATTGGCTGTGCAGATTTAAAAAAATTTTTTGGATTTGCTTTAAAACTTTTGCTTTGGCAACAGCTGCCACCACAGCACAAGATCTCCACTTTGTGACTGAAGGTAAGCTGAGGCAGCCATTTTGTGGATGGCTCTGCCTCCTATGGCACCTATTTTGTGGCAGCCATTTTGTGGCCGTGTCCACCGAGCTGTGTCAGAGAGCCAAACCTTCCCACGGGCGCAAAAAGTTGGAGACCCCTGTAGGGGACAGCAGTGAGGCCAGGGTCTAAATCTGCATCAGCATTTGGCTAAAACGAAGCCCGACACTTACTGCTGGTCGCTGAAGCCTGATTAAGCAAGCCACTTTTCTCTGCAAAGAAAGAGAAGACAGACAATCTTAGGGACTTAAAAGACATCCAAAGGGATACGTTTCTCTCTCCCAAATCCCCACCCTTGTCCCTTAACCAGAACTGACTGTGCCACACCCGTGGATACATTTATAAGCATGGGGCCATTGTTCCACTAATGTCTGGGCATCCCTGCACTCGCTCTGGCCAGAATTTGCCTCTTAATTTCCATGCAGAAAATATACGAGGGGTGTGTGCGTACCCTTACCCAAGATAACCTATCTGAGACAGACAGACAACCTTTATTGGCATGTAAGAGATAACATTAAAATTTAGGAATACATCATAGGTATGGCTGTTGCACAGCCAACAGGAAAAAAAGAACTGATCAATTAATGGTTTCCCTGGTTCGAATTACAGATTGAAGAAAACGAACAACATTAAAAGTTATAGAAGCGTTTTGCCTGGAGAGTAGCAACTGGACCTTGATACTCTCAGGAAGGCCACGCCATGTAAAAAGAACGGTGTCCAGAAATTTTCCTTGAATCTTAATATAAAATGGACAATTTAAAAGAACATGGGAACCGGATTCGATAGCACCCTGACCGCAGGGGCACTGCCTAAGTTCACAGGGGATTTTTTGGCATCTTCCAGAGAAGATGGCCGATGGCAATACATTAAATCCGGCTAACATAAATGCCCTTCTTTGATGGTGATCAGTTAGAGAACAAAAATAAGTAGCTGTCTGGCCCAGTGTCTGGGGTGAATCCCAGAGGAACTGGGGAACAGATAACCCATCTGAGAAAAAGGGCACAAGGGCTTGGTCCCTTCATTTAACGAAGACAGGGCAGCTATGTTCCCTCTAAGCTGCGGAGTCTTGTGAGCAAAAATCCTACTTTGTGAGCCACTGGCATGAAAGCTGTGAGCGAGCGATTTGGCTACTGCAAAAATTAGTTTGCTCTGGAGCCATCCTTCCTGAGCTAAGACAAAAATCTGTGAGCCATAGGCTAAAAAACTGTGAGCTGGCTCACACCAACTCAGCTTAGAGGGAACACTGGCAGCTTCCCCCCAGGAAGGGAGATTGGGGGGGGGGTTATCTCTCCAGGCCTCCAGATGATGAGTGGGGCTCACGAGCACATGGAGCTGCCTTCTACTGAATCAGATCTTTGGTCCATCAAGGTTGGTACCGTCTACTCAGACTGGCAGCGACTCGCCAGGGTCTCAGGCAGACAGAGGTCTTTTGCATCAACTCCTGCCTGGTCCTTTTTAAACTGAAGGTGCCGGGGATTGAACCTGAGGCCTTCTGCATGCCAAGCAGATGTTCTGCCACTGAGCCATGGCCCCTCCCCAAACAAGCACATGAACACATGAAGTTTCCTTATGTTGAATCAGACATTTTGGTCCATCAAGGTCAGTCTTGTCTACTCAGACTGGCAGCGGATCTCCAGGGTCTCAGGTTCAGGTCTTTCTCATCACCTCCTGCCTGATCCTTTTAACAGGAGGTAGCAGGCTTCGAACCCGGGGCCTCCTTTGTGCCCCAGCATTGGAAAGAGATGCCAGGGAAACAGGCCCTGCGCACTGGCTCAGGAACACTGCAACCTATTAACAGACCCTTTGTGCCGGAGCTGGGGGGCGGGCGGTGCTGTACTGGCACTGGAAAGAGGTGCCCAGGACAGGGAGTCTGCACTCGCCCGGGGGTACTGCTACATATGAATACTTCCTTTGTGCCAGGCAAAGGGCCCTCTGCAGTGGCCCAGGGGCACTGCTACCTATGAATAGTTCCTTTGTGCCGGGGCTGTATTGGCACTGGAAAGAGGCGCCTGGGAAAGGCACTCTGCACTGGCTCAGGGGCACTGTCTCCTATTAATAGCTCCTTAGTTCCAGGGAAAAGGCCACTGGCAGGTGATGCGGGGTGGTGGTGGTGGTAGAATTGCCAGATGCAGGCTGGGAAACTCCTGGAGATTTGGGGGTGGAGCCTGGGGAGTCCAAGGACCTCCGTGGGGTCAAAGCCCACCCTCCAAAGCATCCATTTTATCCAGGGGAACTGATCTCTGTAGTCTGGAGACGAGCTGAAATCCTGGGGATCCCCAGGCCCCACCTGGAAGCCGGCATCTCTAGGCCCTGGAAAGGGCCCTCTGCACAGGGGCTCTGTCTCCTATTAACAGCCGCTTTGTGTTGGGGGAAAGGGCCCTCTGCACAGGCTCAGGGGCTCTGTCTCCTATTAACAGCTGCCTGGTGTCGGGGAAGGGGCCCCCTGCACGGGCTCAGTCTCCTATTAACAGCCGCTTGGTGTCGGGGGAAAGGGCCCTCTGCACAGGCTCAGGGGCTCTGTCTCCTATGAACAGCTGCCTGGTGCCGGGGGAAAGGGTCCTCTGCACAGGCTCAGGGGCTCTGCCTCCTATTAACAGCTGCCTGGTGCTGGGGAAAGGGTCCTCTGCACGGGCTCAGGGGCTCTGTCTCCTATTAACAGCCGCCTGGTGCCGGGGGAAAGGGTCCTCTGCACGGGCTCAGGGGCTCTGCCTCCTATTAACAGCTGCCTGGTGCCGGGGGAAAGGGCCCTCTGCACGGGCTCAGAGGCTCTGCCTCCTATTAACAGCTGCCTGGTGCTGGGGAAAGGGTCCTCTGCACGGGCTCAGGGGCTCTGTCTCCTATTAACAGCCGCCTGGTGCCGGGGGAAAGGGTCCTCTGCACGGGCTCAGGGGCTCTGCCTCCTATTAACAGCTGCCTGGTGCCGGGGGAAAGGGCCCTCTGCACGGGCTCAGTGGCTCTGTCTCCTATTAACAGCTGCCTGGTGCCGGGGGAAAGGGTCCTCTGCACGGGCTCAGGGGCTCTGTCTCCTATGAACAGCCGCCTGGTGCCTGGGGAAAGGGCCCT